AAAAAAAAAAAAAAAAGAATTATCTATGTGAGATCACATTGACAACAGCAACTCAAAAGGTTTGATGGGAATCCTAGGGGGCAGTGAGTTGAAGACAATGGTGATGGAATAATTTGGAAAAGGATAGTGACATTGTTAACCAATGTCATAAAACAATATGTGTACTGACTGTTTAATGAGAACCTATTTGTTCTGTACCCTTCACCTAAAGTACAATAAAAATAAATTTTAAAAAAATTCATTCTCTTGTCAAATACATATTGTGAGCCATAAATAAAACTTGACTTTTACCCGCTTCATCTCCTGTTCACCTGAAAAGACCCCACTCAACCTCTCCTTCATTTCTTCTACTGACCAGACCTCAAAGAATACTTAGTATAAAATCAGTACTTTTACATAATCAATTGTCAACTAATAGCACTCTCGTGCTTTACAGTTTTGTTGAAAAAAATAAACTTTGTATTAAATCTCTGTATTTCTTACTTAGATATATAATCTAAAGGAAAAAAAAAGTATCAGTTCAGTTTTAGAAAGCCAAATTTAGATCATGACATCTCCGCATGCCACACACACACAAATGCCTATAGCTTAAAAGATACTTAGATTTCAAACTTACCTTCCAGACCAAGTCCAGGTATCTAAGTTTAGATAGTGCAAATCATTCATCCTAGTTTGCTAAAATAAAAATGTGTTGAATTAGTCAGTGTTTTACATCTTTCATGGGCTAAAATTTCAGTTTTAAAATAAATTCAGATTAAAAATAGACTCTCTACTTTACTTACCACCAGAAGTTTATATGTTGAGAAAAAATGTTAAATATTAGTTAACTGACTAAGTATTAATTACTAATGAAATGAACATGGAGCTACCAAATTAATATGTCAAAGAGAAAACAAAGAAAAGGGTTTAAACTAACAGAATTTAGATGGTAAGAAATTAAACCTTTCTGATAATGCACTGAAGTGAAGGATTCTCCTTCTTAAAATATGATTTATAATCATCTGTGAGTGCCTGTAAATGGTCTGTTTTGGGAACAGGAGAAAAATAAAAGTTATTATTGAATGTGATTTTTATCTCTAGATTATGTCAATGTTCAATTGTTTCACAAAATCAGAGGATAATTTTTTTTCAAACCCAAGTTTTTGTTGTTGTTGTTTTAATACCCTCAGTGCATAACCAGCCTCCACAAGAGGATAAATATCCACAGAGGATTAATTTTTATAAAAACCACCAGGCATAAAAATAAAATTTCCATTAAAAACACTAACCAAAACACGTCCACCAAAGACATATCCTTTATTTCCAAGAACTGCACACGTATGCGCGGCTCGTGGCTGTGGTGGAACTCCACCCTGCAAGCAGAGATGAGAACAGAATAGTGTACAGAGACATGAAACGTCTGGACTAGAGTCACACTGCTAAACTCTGTATGAGAAATACTTGACTGCTAAATTACTATCACCTATGTAGTTTAATTAAAACTCCAAATGCACAAGATTATTCTGAGTAGTATTAATTATGAACAATACTCATCTTCAAGAATAAAATTTATTCTTCCCAATCTTTACCTTTGAAAGTGTTTTTCTTAAATGACTAACACTGTTTGGTAAAACAAGATTTCATGTAAATTTTAGCTTGAAATATAAGGATTTAAAAAAATCAAATGAGAAAAGATTCTCTCATACATACAGACACACACACACAGTTTATATTATGAGTGAGTATTACACAGTGTGATGATCTCAGAGATTCTGAATAATTAAATCTGCCCTCCAAAATCTTGGTGCTTCAAATTCCACAACAGGAACTTCACTCTTGGTTTAAGGCAAACAGTGCTAAATCTCTTACTAAAACTCTTAACATTAACTGATAACACTTCTCTGTATTTTACATTGAATAAATATACCAGGATCCTTTCTTCAGAGAAGTTTTTAATTGAAGAAAGAAGAAAGGGTTAATGGGTAGATGAGTAAGATTTGAAGAAGAATTTTCTGCATAATTTCCATGTGTTCATGGTGGGTACCTGTATGTATTTCATTCCAAATTCTGAAAGAATACAACATTTTCAATTCATTGGCTACTGACTGTGCACATAGAAAATTTAAGCTGTATATACACTATCATAACTTTCTAAAGCTTTCAGGCTTACTTGAATACTGTGGTGGGGACTACATGCTAAGAAATAATTCAGGTATCACTTATTGTCATGGATTGAATTGCATCCCCCATGTCAACTTGGTTAGGCCATGATTCCCAGTATTGTGTTGTTATCCTCCATTTTGTGATTGTAATTTTAGACTAAAGACGATTAGGGTGGGATTGTAACACCCTTACCCAGGTCACATCCCTGATCCAATGTAAAAGGAGTTTCCCTGGGATGTGGCCTGCACCACCTTTTATCTCTCAAGAGATAAAAAGGAAAGGAAAACAAGCAGAGAGCGGGGACTCCATACCACCAAGAAAGCAGTGCCAGGAACAGAGTGTGTCCTTTAGACCCAGGGTCCCTGTGCAGAGAAACTCCTAGTCCAGGGGAAGACTGATGAGAAGGCTGACAGAGAGACTAGGTCAACTGAAACTAGTGCTAGATTTTTTTAAGTCCCCTTAACCTACTTGTTTAGAGAATAAACAAGGATCTGTGGCTACTGAAGGCATATTTTTAAAATGTGCTCCCAAGATGAAGGAGCTGAGGTCAATTCCTATTAGTTCTTTGGACTTCAGGTATTTCCCTGCCTCCTTCTGTCTCTCCTTACCCTAATACAAATTCCTCCCCTTCTTCTGTCACAGCAATCTTACATGCACATGACACTGTTTTAGTTATTATCTAACCATATTTTCACTGTTAATTCCCCTGATGATGTCTTCAAATAAATGCTTATGTTGCTTATATTTGAAAGCTTTTCTGACATAATTGCACCTGGAATCCATTCTCTATCTTTTTGAGATATTCTTAAATTACTTCATTATTCCCAAATATCTGCATCCAAAGGCAAGGCAGCATGGTAAAATGTAACCACCACTCGTGCTGAAGTTGAGAACACTGGATTTGCATTCTAATTGTATCATAAAAGAGCCATTCCATGTTTCATCTGTAGAGTGGAGGGTTAACAGTATTTTCCTACCTGGAAAACACTGACGCCCTGAAATTGGACTTTTAGCCTACTTTACTGTGAAGAAATAAATTTCTCTTTTTTAGAGCCATCCACTTGTGGTATTTCTGTTATAACAGCACTAGATGACTAAGACACCTACATAACACTTAAATAAATGAGAGAGAACTATTTATGGGTTGTGGTTCTCAGCCATTCCAGCAAAATGAAAAAAATTTTTTGACATTTTATTGTGCTTTAGGTGAAAGTTTACATAGCAAATTAGTTTTCCAATCAATGATTCTTATACTAATTGTTCCGTAACATTGGTTGTAACCCTCACAATGTGTTAGCACTTTCCCCATTTCCTCCCTGGGGCCTCTGTTTCCATTTGTCTGGTTTCCCAGTCCCTCTGCTGTCTCATCTTTAGTTTGGGGCAGATGTTGCCCTTTTAGTCTTGTATAGTTGATTGTTCTAAGAAGCACATTCTTCACAGGTGTTACCGTTTATTTTACAGCCCCATCTACCATCTATTATTTGGCTGAAAGGCTGGCTCCGTGAGTATCTTCAGTTTGTCAAGTTAGAAGGCTGTCTTAGTGCAATAGTCTTAGGGGTTCCTCTAGTTTCTTTCAGACAGTAAGTCTGGGTTTTTTTTGGAATTGGGATTTTGTTCTACATTTTTTACCCATTCTAACCAGGATCTTCTATTGTGATCCAGGTAAGAGTGGTCGGTAGTAGTAGCTGGGCACCATCTAGTTCTTCTCATCTCAGGTTAGAGGAGGTTGTGGTTCATGTCGGCCATTAGTCCTTTGGACTAATGCATTCCTTGAGTCTTTGGTTTTCTTCGTTCTCCTTTGCTCCAGGCAAGAAAAGACCAATGGTTGCTTCTTAGATGGCCGCTTGCAAGCTTTTAAGATCCCAGATGCTACTCACCAGGCTAGGATGTAGAACATTGTCTTTATGAACTATGTTTCACCAAATGTCCCCCAAGACTATAGTTCTTAGCCTTCAAGTCCAGTAGTTTAGTCCTAATGTCTAAGTAGTTTCTATAACTGTGCCCCCTACGTAGTCTATTATATATATGCATACACATGCAGCAGTTACAAATGTGTATGTAGAAATATCCAGAGCCATATCTATATATGTACATGGGGGTACTCCCGTATGACCTCCCTCACCTATTTAACATACATATAAGCCTATGTATCTACTCACAAATTATTGTTATTACTGTTGTTGCAGGATTGTATATGTTATAGCATTTACTATTGTTGTTGTTAGGTGCCACTGAGTTGTCTGACTCATAGCGACCCCATGTACAACAGAATGAAACACTGCCCTGTCCTGTGCCATCCTTATGATCATCGTTATGCCTGAGCCCACTGTTGCAGCCACTGTGTCAATCTATCTCATTGAGGGTTTTCCTCTTTTTCGATGACCCTCTACTTTACCAAGCATGATGTCCTTCTCCAGGGAGTGTTTCCTTCTGATAACATGTCCAAAGTATGTGACATGAAGTCTCGCCATCCTTGTTTCTAAGGAGCATTCTGGCTGTACTTCTTCCAAGAAACATTTGTTCTTTTGGTAGTCCGTGGTGTATTCAATATTCTTTGCCAACACTGTAAATCAAAGGTGTCAATTCTTCTTCGGTCTTTCCAGCTTTCGCACGCTTATGAGGTGACTGAAGACACCATGGCTTGGGTCAGGCGCACCTTAGTCCTTAAAGCAAAGATGTCACTTTAAAAGCATTTACCATAGTTGCCCTTTATTCTTGCATACCTCTCAGTGTCTTCCTTTGCCTTGTCATGTTGTGCTGACTTCTTCCATATTATGTACTGCCTTTCCCTTCACCAAAATTAACACCTGTCTACTATCTAGTGATTCCCCCTTCTTCCCCCTCCCATCCCTGGTAACCATAAAATAACGTTTCTTTCTGTGTGTAAACTTATTCTTGACTTTTTATAATAGTGCTCTCACACAATATTTGTCCTTTTGTGATTTAGTTATTTCACTCAGCATAACGCCCTCCAGATTCATCCATGTTGTGAGATGTTTCACAGATTCATCATTATTCTTTATCATTGCATGGTATTCCACTGTGTGTACGTACCACAGTCTGTTTATCCATTCATTCGCTGATGGGCACTTAGGTTGTTTCCATCTTTTTGTTATTGTGAATAACGCTCAGTGAACATGGGTCTGCATATGCCTACTTGTGACACAGCTCTTATTTCTCTAGGATACAGATGTAGGAGTAGGATTGCTGGATCATATGGTAATTCTATTTCTCGCTTTTTAAGAAAGTGCTATACCGTTTTCATAGTGGTTTTACCATTTTACATTCCCACCAGCAGTGTATAAGTTCCAATCTCCCCCACAATCTTGCCAGCGTTTGTTGTTCTCTGTTTTTTTTGATCAGTGCCATTATTGCCGGGGTAAGATAGTATCTCATTGTAGTTTTGATGTGCATCTCTCTAACAGCTAATTATCACGAGCATCTCTTGATGCGTTTGTTAGTCACCTGAACATCTTCTTCCGTGAAGTGTCTGTTCATGCCCATTTTTTAACTGGATTGTCTTATTGTTGTTGAAGTATTGAAGGCAAAAAAAATTTATTACCCCATCTCTGATCTAAAATTTTGGAAAAACTCTGTCTACTATAATTACCTCATTTACTATGACATAAATATCTAATTTCTACTTTTTTATTTATCAAATACAATTAATAGCCAATCAAAGCTTCTGAACATACCTAGTTCATATAATTCCCAGCGAAAGCAAAGAAATGGCATTTGCATTAGACTGTGTGCCTAACTATAAGTAATATACAATGTTTATTAGGTTTTTTCCAAATACTGAGAATAACTCAAATACCTCTATTACTACCATTGCTCTCCTAGCGGCAAAAACTCCAGGTAGGAAAACACTGTTAACCCTCCCATTCTACAGATGAAACATGGAATGGCTCTTTTATGACACAATTAGAATGCAAATCCAGTTTTCTCAACTTCAACACGAGTGGTGGTTACATTTTACCATGCTGCCTTGCCTTTGGATGCAGATATTTGGGAATAATGAAGTAATTTAAGAATATCTCAAAAAGATAATGGATTCCAGGTGCAATTATGTCAGAAAAGCTTTCAAATATAAGCAACATAAGCATTTATTTGAAGACATCATCAGGGGAATTAACAGTGAAAATATGGTTAGATAATAACTAAAACAGTGTCATGTGCATGTAAGATTGCTGTGACAGAAGAAGGGGAGGAATTTGTATTAGGGTAAGGAGAGACAGAAGGAGGCAGGGAAATACCTGAAGTCCAAAGAACTAATAGGAATTGACCTCAGCTCCTTCATCTTGGGAGCACATTTTAAAAATATGCCTTCAGTAGCCACAGATCCTTGTTTATTCTCTAAACAAGCAGGTTAAGGGGACTTAAAAAGATCTAGCACTAGTTTCAGTAGACGTAGTCTCAATAATCTTTCTTTCCACCTGCTAACTGACATGAAATTATTTTGACAGAGGTAAAAACCTTTTATTTCATTACTAAAAGTCATAAATCTTAAAATTCAAACGCTGGTTTAGAGAAAACTCAATCAACAAGTATAAACGACTGATACTTAATCAGTTATAAAATTAGAAATGGAGTAAAGAGAACAAAATAGCAATGGAAACCTGAAATTCACTGCCAGGAATAACAGGACGCTGAGAACAGGTCAAATTTTATCATACTATTTTGCATATAGTCTCTGATCACTTCCATCAACAGAAGCTGGACTATAAGGAATTTAACCATGTATGCACGTTAGTGCATACTGTTGGTTTTGCCTGCTCAGTATTCCATTCTGTATAGTTCTGGAGAGCTTATCAATCATAATACCTCGTCCTCGTAGGGACAGGCATGTGACTCAGGCCTGGCCAATCATCCTCTTGGCAATAAGGATTAATGTAAGGAATGCACACGTGCCCGAGCAGAGTTTTTTTCTAGGACTAACATACGAACATTGAGAGAATGCAGCATCAACAGAAAGAACTGCTTGTGTAGCCCCTCCTTCTGTCCTGACAACCTCTGCTAAATGAGCCAGCCAGTCTGCAGTGGGTTAGAATGAAGCCAGCACACAAAGAGAAGCAGGGAGAAGTAGACAAAGAGAGATGCTACACATTTTGATGGTACTGAGTAACTTGCTCCAGTTCTTGAGGCCCTGGTCCCTGAAGCTCTTCCACTGTGTGAGCCACCCAATATGCTTTCAGCTATGTGAGAATTCATTATTGCTTAAACTAATTTGAATTTGCATTTGGCCACTAGCAAATGAAAGTGTCCAACAATGTATTTTTCTTATAACTGCAAGTAGTTTTGATTTCGAGGGTTTATGAAGCATGGGCTTTTTAAAATCATGGACTTTGCACCACAACCAACTGCTCTGACGGGGATCACAATAGAAGGCCCCAGACAGAGCTAGAGAAAAATGTAGAACTAAATTCTAACTCAAAAAAAGATCAAACTTACTGGTCTGACAGAGACTGGAGAAACCCAGAGAATATGGCCCCCGGACACCCTTTCAACTCAGTACTGAAGTCACTCCTGAGGTTCACCCTTCAGCCAATAGACAGGCCCATAAAACACAACGAGACTAAATGGGCACACCAACTCAGGAACAAGGACAAGAAGGCAGGACGGGACAGGTAAGTTAGTAATGAGGAACCCAAGGTCGAAAGAGGGAGAGCGTTGACACGTCGAGGGGTTGGCAACCAATGTCACAAAACAATATGTGTACTCACTGTTTAATGAGAAACTAATTTGTTCTGTAGCTTTCATCTAAAGCACACACAAAAAAAATCTAGAAATAGACGACACGAAAAAAAATCATGGACTTTGTTATAAAAGGACTTTATAAAAGGCTTCATTAAGGGTGTATCACAATTGTGGTAAAGAATGATGTGGCTCCTCTTAAAAAGATCTCTTCTAGAAAACCCTAGCCCACCTGGAGAAAAATATACGATTTCTCAAAAAATAGTACTGATGGCTGACAGTACTCAAGAGAGCTACATTGTATGTGATTACAAATCCAATTACTAAAAATCCAAATAACTTAACAGAAAATGGATTCTTAAAGTATCAATGAAAATAAAAGTAACTTTATAATGCTCACTTTAATTTCTGGTTGAAACCAAGTCCGTGTCTTTGTGTCAAACATGTGGACATCATTATGCCATCCCCAGAATATCTGCTCTTCCTAAAACAGAAATATTTAAAAACATTTAATAGTTTTTGCATTATTGTTACAGTTTGGTCACATATTTACTGGTGAAATAATAGACAGAAAAACAGAGTTAAGTGTTACTATAGTCATAATGCATCAGCTTTAAAAAATAATGCATAATGCACAAAGCTAATACATTATGACTATGGTAACACTTAACTCTGTTTTTGTGTGGTCTCTAGACAACAGCAGCATCACCTGGCAAATTTTCTTAAAGTATTACTTGTAGTGTGTCATAATTTTGCTTATTGACAATCTCCCAATTTTCTCAAGGGATTATCTCTTTTTTTTAAATTGCAGAGGACAGAATGATATGTATACTTTGAAATCTGTTTTTCTAAAGTATATACCCAGAATTGCTCATTTTTCCTATAATAAACTTTAAGGGGTCCTGGTTCCTTTTTCCAAAAAATTCCATTTACTTCTACTTCACCAGTTAATGTCCCCTTACAGGCCAAATTTATACTCATGCTCTTCTATTTTCTAAGAGACAAAACTGTAAGCAAGGCAAAGATTTAGCAGTTTGTCCTACTGTGGTGGCTTGCATGTTGCTGTGATGCTGGAAGCTATGCCGCTGGTATTTCAGAAGCCAGCAGGCTCACCCCTGGTGGACAGGTTTCAGTGGAGCTTCCAGACTAAGACAGACTGAGAAAAAGGACCTGGTGATCTACTTCTAAAAACACTGGCCGGTGAAAACCTTATGGATAGCAGCAGAACACTGTCTGATATAGTGCTGGAAGATGAACCCATCAGGTTGGAAGGTACTCAAAATAGGACTGGGGGAAAGCTGTCTCCTCAAAGTAGGGTTGACCTTAATGACGTGGATGGAGTCAAGCTTTCGGGACCTTCATTTGCCAGCGTGGCATGACTCAAAATGAGAAGAAACAGCTGCAAATATCCATTAATAATCGGAACATGGAATGCACGAGGTATGAATCAAGGAAAATTGGAAGTTGTCAAAAATAAAATGGAACACTTGAAGATCGATATGCTAGGCAACACTGAGTTGAAATGGACTGGTACTAGACATTTTGAATCAGACAATCATATGATCTACTACGCTGGGAATGACAAATTAAAGAGGAACAGTATCACATTTGCTGTCAAAAAGAACATTTCAAGATCTATCCTGAAATACAAGGCTGTCAGTGATAGAACAATATCCATACACTTCTAAGGAAAACCAGTAAAAGTGACTATTATTCTAATTTACGTACCAACCACTAATACCAAAGATGAAGAAATTGAAGATTTTAACCCACTTCTGCAGTCTGAAATTGATCAAACACGCAATCAAGATACATTGATAATTACTAGTAATTGGAATGCAAAAGTTGGAAACAAAGAAGGATTGGTAGTTGGAAAATATGGCCTTGGTGATAGAAGTGACGCCAGAGATTATGTGACAGAATTTTCCAGGACCAATGCCTTATTCATTGCAAATATCTTCTTTTCAACAACATAAATGGTGCCTATACACACAGACCTCAGGAATATACAAGAATCAAACTGACTACATCTGTGGAAACAGATGATAGAGAAGGTCAATATCAGTCACAACAAGGCCAAGGGGCCAACTGCAGAACAGACCATTAATTGCCCATATGCAAGTTCAAGTTGAAGCTGAAGAAAATTAAGTCCATGAGAGCCAAAGTATGACCCTGAGTATATCCACCTGAATTTAACACCATCTCAAGAACAGATGTGATGCACTGAACACTAAGGACCGAAGACCATACGACTTGCGGGATGACATCAAGAACACCATACATGAAGAAAGCAAAAGATCATCAAAAAGACAGTAAAGAAGAAAAGACCAAAATGGATGTCAGAAGAGACTCTGAAACTTGCTCTTGAACGTAGAGTAGCTAAAGCAAATGGAATAAATGATCACGTAAAAGAGCTAAGCAGAATATTTCCAAGCGTGGCTTCAGAAGACAAAGTAAAGTATTATAATGAAATGTACAAAGACTTGGGGAATTAGAAAACCAAAAGGGAAGAACATGCTCGGCATTTCTCAAGCTGAAACAACTGAAGAAAAATTCAAGCCTCAATACTGAAGGATTCTATGGGCAAAAAACTGAACAATGCAGGAATCATCATCAGAACATGGAAGGAATACACAGAGTCACTGCACCAAAAAGAACTGGTCAACGTTCACCCATTCTGGGAGGCAGCATATGATCAAGAGCCTATGGTACTGGAGGAAGACGTCCAAGCTGCACTGAAGGCATTAGCAAAAAACAAGGCTCCAAGAATTTAGCCTGTATTTGGAATACCAATTGAGGTATTTCAACAAATGGATGCAACACTGCAAGTGCTCACTCATCTATGACAAGAAATTTGGAAGACAGCTACGTGGCCAACCAACTGGAAGAGATCCATATATGTGCCTATTCCAAAGAAAAGTGATGCAATGGAATGCGGAAATTATCGAACAATATCATTAACATCACATGCAAATACAACTTTGCAGAAGATAATTCAGAAACGGTTGTAGAAGTACTTCAACAGGGAACTGTCAGAAATTCAAGCCAGATTCAGGAGAGGACATGGAATGAGGGATATCATTGCTGATTGTCAAATGGATCTCGGCTGAAGGCAGAGAATACCAGAAAGATGTCTACCTGTGTTTTACTGACTATGCAAAGGCATTCAACTGTCTGGATCATAACAAATTGTGGATAACAGTGCAAAGAATGGGAATTCCAGAACACCTAATTGTGCTCACGCAGAGCCTGTATATAGATCAAGAGACAGTTGTTTGAACAGAACAACGGTATACTGCGTGGTTTAAAATTAGGAAAGGTATGCGTCAGGGCTGTATCCTTTCACCACACTTATTCAGTCTCTATGCTGAGTAAATAACCCGAGAAGCTGAACTATATGACTATATGAAGAAGAATGTGGCATCAGGAATGGAGGAAACCCATTAACAACCTGCAATATACAGATGACATAACCTTGCTTGCTGGAAGTGAAGAGGACTTGAAGAACTTACTGATGAAGATCAAAGACCACAGCCTTCAGTATGGATTGCACCTCAACATAAAGAAAACAAAAATCCTCACAACTGGACCAGTAAGCAACATCATGATAAATGGAGAAAAGACTGAAGTTGTCAAGGATTTCATTTTACTTGGATCCACAATCAATGCCCATGGAAGCAACAGTCAAGAAATCAAACAACATATTGCATTGGGCAAATCTGCTGCAAAAGACCTCTTTCAAGTGTTAAAAAGCAAAGATGTCACTTTGAGGACTAAGGTACTCCTTACCCAAGTCATGGTATTTCAATTGCCTCATATGCACACAAAAGCTGGAAAATGAATAAGGAAGACCAAAGAAGAATTGGTGCCTTTGAATTATGGTGTTAGTGAAGAATATTGAATACACCATGAACTGCCAGAAGAATGAATAAATCTATCTTAGCCAGAATGCTCTTTAGAAGCAAGGATGGCAAGACTTTATCTTACATACTTTGGACATTTTATCAGGAGGGACCAGTGCCTGGGGAAGGATTTCACGCTTGGTAAAGTAGAGGGTCAGCGAAAAATAGGAAGAGCCTCAAGAAGATGGGATGACACAGTGGCTGCAACAACGGACTCAACCACAGCAATGACTGTGAGGACGGCACAGGACTGGGCAGTGTTTCATTCTATTGTACATACGGTTGCTATCAGAACTGACTCGATGGCACCTAACAACATAATGACAATTGTATTTTGGACCTTGCCGATTGCTGAAATCCTCTATCACTACTGTATCCTCCTCTGTGCCAGTTTTATGTTCTATGTTAGGAATACATCCTTATTTTTGTCAAGACTTGTCAAAAAGTCAAGTAAGCTAAGCAATTTACTAGTTTAGAATCTAGACAAACAAACAAAAACTACTTTTATTCCAGAAACTTTAGGGCATGTTCATTAGCTTAATTAGCTATACTAAGGACAGAAAAAAATGAATGATTTCACTGATGAGTTAAAAATAATGAGATACAAATAATGGTAAGCTTTCCCTGAAAACTATCAGTAATACTTTAAATAGCAAAGCTTTAAAGATATTTTATTTTAAAAGTTCAAAGATCATGTAGAAACCTGGGGAATTTTTAAATGACTATATATAAAGAGATAAATACTCAATGGTGTTTATACATTACTTCAGTAATGTACAATAATAATACATATTAATATAGAAAGAGCTACTATGCATCTTCGTGGTGGGATCACCAGCTTTTAAAATTATTTTTTGAAAGATTTATAATTCATGACCTCTTTTATTAATAATGGTTTATACTCTATTTAGTAAGAATAAGCAGCAAAGTTAATGTCACTGCCAACTCATTCTTGTACAGAGGCCAGTCTGAGCTATGAATAGTTCTTGTGGATGTACCCAAAAGAAGAGGTATGTCAGCAATAGCCCTTGTGGCTGCATATGAACAAAATTCTGCTGAGTTGTCCTGAAGCCTCTACTTGTCTAACAGAAGCAGCTAAAGTGACTAATAAAGTAAGAAAATAAATTACTCTGGCAGCAGTCATGAAGGCTAATACTACTAGGTGAGAGACCCTCCTCTAACCGGATCCAAATCTAAAAAGAAAAAAACACATTTTTGTTACAGTGTCAGTTATGGCAAATGGTACTTCCTACAATGGGAAAGATTAGGTTCAGTATTTCTAAATATTTTAAGGCTATGCTAACCTAGAGGAAAAACAGTGATTACTCTCTTACCCAAGATGCATCATGAACATCAAAACAGTCTTGGAGTTCATTGTGTCTCCTACACCCATAACCACCAAAATATATTAACCTGAAAAACAAATACAAAAGGACATACTTTAAGAGATCTGCTTCCTGTTTGTTTGTGGAAAGTTGAAAAATAATTTCTCTCACCCTAACAACTTAAACAAATCAGATAAGCTACAAATCATAGTTTGAAAAAAATTAAAAGAGTTGAGAGAACAAAGAAACCTAAATGTACCAAATTCCAGAAAGTGATAAGCCCTCATTAGGATCAAAGAGAACTCTGCTACTTTCATCCTTGGTATAACAGCAAAAGAAAGAATCTAACGCAGACAGGGTTTGTAAAGAGAAATTACCTGAATTTTTAACAGCCACACGTAGGCTGGCATGGCAAATTAGAATCTTAAGGAGCTCAGCCACAAACGGGGTTTAAATCCACTAGCTAACTCTTTCCCACAGTCTTCAGTGAATGCTCAGGGTCAGTAAGCAACAGCTGGGAGCAGAAAAGGAAAGCTTAGAAACCCCCCTTGAGGCAATCTGAGCTTTCAGCTCCCAAGGTGTGGGATCAGGGCAGAAGAGCATGCTAAGCCTTCAAAGAGTATAGAGTAGCTGCCCTCCAAAGCCCGGGGGAGGAGGTGCAAGGCTGAAAGATATCTCCCAAGGTGCAGAAAGCATGAAGTGGGATTCAAGAGCAAAGAGAATTCACTAGAGGCTCAAAAAAAAAAAAAAAAAAAAAAAAACTGGCAACTACTGTATTTTTTATGCAAATAATGCACGTTATACATTTTTTTGGTCAACCATGCCCTCTCCCCATGAGGTATTTTTGTAAGTGTGCTATGCTAAATTTTACAGCAACATGTAAAAAAATTAGCATAGCACACTTACAAAAATACCCTGTGGGGGGAGGACACAGTTGGCAAAAAAACATAAAATGTGTGTTATTTGCATAAAAATATGGTAGGCTATAAGGCAAGGAGAAAGATTTCCCAAAGTTCTGAATAGTGATAACTCAACAGTGAAGCACAGCTTAAACTTTTTAGAAAATCTCCAGTGCTCAAACATGAGGCCCTGCTAAAGAAAAGTACTGATCCTGCCTAGAAATATTTGAAGTCAGTGGTAAACTGAATCAACAAAGCCCCAATCCAGATCAACTAAAGATAAGATTGACTCAACTCCCACTCTTGAAGCCTGAAAGAAGAAGGAATATGTCCCTTTCTGGAGAAAAAGATGATTTACTCCAATCTTTACTGTTCTTTTATACAGACTGTTCAGCACATAACAAAAAACTACAAGACACACAAAAGCCAAAAAAAATGACCCATGATCAAGAAAGAAAACAGTCAATATAAGCAGATTCAGAGATTTCCCAGGAATTATAAGACAGGGCTTTAAAAAATAACTACGATAAAAATGCTAATGGATCTAGTGAAAAAAGGTGAACAATATGCAGTAGGAAATGGGGAATTTCAGTAGAAATATGGAACTTTTTCAAAATTGAAAAAGACATACCACGCAAAGACAAAACAATAAGATGGCTGATGTGGCTATATTAATATCAGAAAAAGTAGGCTTCAAAACAGAGTATTATTAGAGGTAAAGAGGAACGTTTTATAATGACAAAAGGGTCAATTATTCAAGCAGATACAATAATATGAAATGTGTCTATAACTAATAATAAAGCTTCATAACACACAAAGCAGAAATTAAAGGGATAAATAGAAAACCTACAATCATAATTCAAGACTTGAACACCCTTATCTTAGTAATTTATAAAAATAACTATACAGAAATAACAGTAAAGACACAGATGGTCTAAATAATACAATCAACCAACTAGCCCTAATTGATATGTATAGAATACAACACTCAACAATAGCAGGCTATACATATCCTTTTCAACTGCATATGGAATTCATCAGGATAGACCATATGTAGAGCCATGAAACAAATCTCAATAAATATCTAACCACTGAAATCAAACAGTATATGATATTAAATTAGAAACCACTAACAAGACATTTTTTAAGATCCCCAAATATGTGAAAATCAAATGGCACACTTCTCAATAGTTTATGGGGCAAAGAAGAAATGACAAGAGGCATTAGAAAATATTTCAAACTGAATGGTAATGAAAACACATGTCAAATTTTGTGGGACGCAAGAAAAGCAGAACTTACAGGGGAATTTATATCTTTAAATGCTTATCTTATAAATAAAGAAGGGTAAAAGAAAAGCAAATTAAACCCAAAGTAAATAGGAGAAAGGAAATGATAAAACTAACAGCAAATATTAATGAAATAAAAACAAACAATAGAGACAATCAACAAAGTCAAAAGTTGTTCTTTTGAAAAGATTAGTAAACTGACATACCCTTAGCAAGGCTGATTGAGAGACTGAGAGATAGATACAGACAGACAGAAATCACAAATTACCAACATCAGGAATGAGAAAAGGGACATCACTATAGATTTCAAAGTCATTAAAAGGAAATCAGGAGATATTGTGAATAAATATATGACAATAAATTAAAACACTTAAAATAATGGACAAAGTCTCTTAAAAACAAATTACCAAAACTGACACGAGAAAAATGAAAAATAAAAATTGCCCCATCTATGTTAAAGATATTAAATTTGTAATCAAAATTCATTCTACAAAGAAAACTCCAGGCCATATGGCTTCATTAGTAAGATAATATCAATCCTACATGAACTTGGTCAGAAACAGCAGAAAGAGGGAACTTTCCTAACTTATTTTATATCAGCACAATAAGCTCAATACCAAAACCTGACAAAAATATTACAAGAAAATTATAGATCAATATCCCTCATGATCACAGATGCAAAAACCCTTGAATCCATCATAAATAAAAAGGATAACACATCATGCCCAAGTAGGATTATCCCAGGAATTCAAGGTTAGTTTAACATTTAAAAAAAACCCAATGTAATATATCACACTAACAGAATAAAAGAGAAAAAATGTATGATCACCTCAACAGAAAATCGCCTATGGACAATAGAAAAAAAGAAAACCACACAAACAGAGAGAGAGAGAGAGAGAGTTAAGAAGAATTGCCAAGAAAATGATAAAGAGACCATTTATGCATAAATGAAGTTTCTTTTCCCCAAAAAAATGGAAAAGAAAATTTAAAAACATAATTAACAAAAACTGGCATTGAAGCGGGTGGGGGCGGGGGTAAGGGGAAGAAGAGGCTACAGTCTAATTCCACTGATGGTCAGGATAGGGAACTGTTATGGATTGAATTGTGCCCCCCAAAGATATGTCACAGTCCTAACACCTGGTACCTGTGAATGTGACTTTGGAAATAAGGTGAGTCATATCCTGTCTAAATGTCTTATAAAAGAGGAGAACAGACATGGAAAGTCAGAAGAATGACCATGTCACGACAGAGGCAGATGCAGCTGCAAGCCAAGGAATGCTAAGGATTGGTATGAGCCATAAGAAGGCGAGAGAGAGACGTGTAACAGTTTCTCGGAGCCTTCAGAAGGAATCAACACCACTGATACCCTGATTTGGACTTCTAGCCTTCAGAACTGTAAGACAGTAAGTTTCTGTTCTTTAAAGCCACCCACTCTGTGGTATTTTGTTCCAGCAGCCCTAGGAAACTAAGATGGGAACCAATAGATACTGTTCAAAGAAAAAGGAGGCTAAGGGTAATAGCTAAAAGAATCAATATAAGCACTAGAGCACAAGCACAAACTTTCTCTATATCAGGCAAATTACAATTAAAAAATCAAATAAAATAGCCCACATAGTGAAAGACTTTAACATAGTTCATAAAATAATATGATAGAGCTAATACCAAACATATCTAACGTATCAATAAATATAAATGGGCTTAATTCAGCTATTAGGAAAAAAAAGATGTTCTGACTGGATTACAAAACAAACTCAATTCTATGTTTGTTGTGATTTTAAAACATGTCCTCAATTCTTGAAGCTCCTCTCATCACGAGGTAGAGTTCATGAGGCTCTTTCCTTTGAAACTGGGCCAGCCTTTGTGACAGCCTCCCTGACTAGAACGCAGCAGAAGGAACACCAAGGAACTTCTGGGGCTAAATTAGAAAAAGCCGTAAAGAATTTGTCAGTTTCTCTTGGGACACTGGGAGCCTCCAGTTACCATGTGAAAAGTTCAGCTATCCTGATGCTGTCATCTGGATTGACCACATAGAAAGAAAGATGCTCAAGAACTCTGTATGGATTAAATTGTGTCCCCCCAAAAAATGTGTGTCAACTTGGCTAGTCCATGATTCCCAGTATTATGTGCACCATTTTGTCATGTGATGTGATTTTCCTATTGTTGTAATCCTACCTCTATGATGTTAATGAGGTAGGATTAGTGGCAGTTATGTTAATAAAGCAGGACTCAACCTACAAGATTGGATTGTGTTTTAGGTCAATCTCTTTTGAGATATAAAAGAAAGAAGGAAGCAGAGAGACAACAAGGGACCTCACACCACCAAGAAACAAGAGCTGGGAGAATAGAACATTCTTTGGGTTGGGGGTCCCTGTGCTGAGAAACTCAACTGGGAAAGATTGATGACAAGGACCTTTCCCCAGAGCTGACAGAGAGAAAGCCCTGCCCTGGAGCTGGCACCCTGAATTCGGATTTCTAGCCTCCTAGACTGTCAGAGAATAAATTTGTTTGTTAAAGCCATCTACTTGTGGTATTTCTGTTACAGCAGCACTAGATAACTAAGACAGAGTCCCAGCTTTTCCATCCCCAGATGTTTGTGTCTTCCCAGTCCAGGTATCACACATGTGAGTGAAGAAGCCTTTGAGATGACCCCTGCCCTGGCCACTGAATACAACCACATCAGAAAACCTGAGCGAGAACTGCCAACCTGAGCATAGTCAACCCCGATTTTTTAGTAAAATAAATGATTGCTATTGTTTTAAGCCATTGTTTTGGGGTGATTTTTAAGGCAACAACAGTCCAGAACAATATTATATACAAGAGAAATGCCTAAAACAACAATATTCTGAAAATATTAAAAATAAAAAGATGGGCAAGAGTATACCAGGAAAATGCAAATAAAAAGAAAGCAGAGGTCACAACCTTAAAATCAGACAATATGGGATTCAAGTCCAAAAGCATGAAATGAAAAAAAGAAGATCACTTTACAATGTTAAAGACTATAATTCGCAATTGAGATAACCGTAACAAACACTGGGCACCAAATAACACAACAATTTTCATAAGGTAGAAATAACAGAAGACATAAGAAGAGAGAGGCATTAATAATAGGAGACTTTAATTCACCTTTCTCATCTCCATCCAAGATAGAGCAAGTGAACAAAAATAAATAAAGGCATATAAAACCTAAACATTATACTCAATAAAGAAGATGTGATGGATATACATCAAAGTCTATGCCCTGATAATCAAGAATATACCTACTTTTCAAATGCTCATGGACTATTCATGAGAAAATGACTATATATTAGGCCACAAAAAACCCTCAATAATTCCAAAATATATAAATAATACAGACAATATTCTCTAATCTCAATGCAATAAAACTAGGATATAATAAAATCAGAGAAAAGGCCCTTCTAAGAATTTTAAAATGCAAATACATCAATAATCATAAAAACTTAAACAAATTAAATGTTGCAATAAAAAGTGATGCCTGTGACCTACCCCCCGAGATTGTAATTAAATTGATCTGGGGTATCACCTGGGCTTTGGAATTTTTTTAAAAGATCTCCAGATGATTCCAATGGCAGACAATTTTTGGAGCCACTGCTGTAAGGATAAAAAGAAACCAACAAAAGAGGTTATCTGAGGCAGAGAGGGTCAGGAGCTAGTTGAACGGACACAGGAAATCAGGGGTGGAAAGGAGGAGTGTGCTGTCTCAGTATAAGAAGAGTAATTAGGGTCACATAACAATGTATATATAAATTTTTGCATGAGAGACTAACTTGAATTGTAAACTTTCACTTAAACCACAACAATTAAAAAAAAAAGTGGTTATTTGTATATGTGTAGGGGAGGGGATGAGGTAGGGGTGAGAGTTAGACATTTCACTGTGTATGTTTTAATACTGCTTTGATTTTTGAACCATGTGAATACATTATCTATTCAGGAAACTCAATTAAAAAATTAATTAATTAAAAAACTAAATAGTTGCTTCCACCATATCCATTTTTATGACATGGCTTTTATTCGGGGTCCTGAACTTCCATTACCATCATCATTAAAACAAGTTTGTAATTATGTATTGAAAAAATTCAGACTTTACAGTTTTCCGTATTTTGGCAACAAGCTGCAATCCTTACCTAAATGTAGTTAATGAGATGGCTATTTTGCTGCATTCAAAAAAAAAAAAAAAAACCACACCCAATGCCGCTGAGTCGATTCTGACTTACCTGTCTTTGTATACCCAGCAGGAAAGTTTGTCACGTGGTGTAGGTGGTTGTCCTTCAAAGTTACTGATTTTTTCCCAAATATATGTTCCATCTCTTGTTCGCAAGTTAACAAAATAAAGCTTTCAAAAGAGGAGAACACTATTAACAGACAGGACACTAAATCTTTATCAGAGGGATTTGTCATCCAAAAATCAGTAATATTACTTTTTTTTTTAAAATAGGTGAAAATTTTAATTGTAAAATTAATGAAAATGAGACTTTATTTTAGAAGCAAAAATGATATATAAAACATGCTGAAATGGATCTTTTCCCATCATGGATATCAACTGGATAGCAGCTGAGTATATAAATTCTGAAGGAGAAAGACATGGAAGAAGAGAAGAGCAAGACCGCTATTTTACCTTCAAAAATCATAAATAATAAACTTAAGATTTTCTACATACGTCTTCTTTTTAAAATGTTTGTAAACTTGTGAGATGAAGCGATACATTAAATATTACATTTTGCTGCACTCTTGAATTAAAAGAATGTATTACTCGATTGCTGTATCCTTTGTCATCATATCCTCCAAAAATGTACAGCTTTCCATTAATGCAAGCACCACAACTTCCTGACATGGAGGTAGGGAGTTCTCCTTCCATTAGGTGCATTGTCCTACAGCAAAAACAACACGGAATCCCATAACTTCCCAGAAAAGCAAATCAAAATGCCCTTTGAACTCCATGAGTACTTTTTCAGTGAAAATTGTCACTAGCAATCATTGAATTTAAAAGTAATGTTATGCCAATATTGTAAAACTCTAAAAAGATCCATGGTAAAGACTTTTCAACCTGCTGGAAAAAATTACAAAATTTTCACACGTCACCAGAACTGGGAATTAGTAGAATTAAAGCAAAGTCTTTGTAGACAGCATTGGTTTTAAAAGGAATGGTTAAGGACAAAGAATGAAGAGAGTAAAGGAGTAAAGGAACCACAGAGAATAAAACATTGAAAGAAAGGGAAAGACAATAAATGTTGCAATATGTTTTAATTATGGTCTTAAATTACCTGTAGTCTATAACGACATTTATAACAGATGTTAAGATTGGGCATTCTGCAATTTAAAATTACTTACCACAACCCACTATCAATATCATAGGTCCAAATTTCATCATTAGGCAAATATACTTCATTGTCTTCAATAGACTAAAAACATAAAATACATAAAGACATCCTTATCAATCACATAGTAATAATGACATAGTTCGTCAGGACAGGAAAACTGCAATTAAAATACAACAAAACACAAAATCAGAAACAGACTCAAAGTTTTTTTTTTTTCTGTTTTCAATATAAAATTAGGTAAGTCAAAAGAAAAGAGAGGAAAGATATTTTCTAAGAGAAAGTGAGCAAACAAGGTTTAGAATACAAAATAGCAAGTTCATGAGTCTCAAAAAAAAGATATGGGAAAGTTAAATCTTAAAAAGGATTTCAAAGGATTAACAGCAAAATAGTAACATTTAGAGCTGAATAAATATTGAAGACTATGGAGTAAGGAAGAAAAAAAAACCAAACTCATTGCTGTCGAATCGATTCTAACTCATACTGACCCTACAGGACAGAGTAGAACTGCCCCATAAGTTTTCCAAGGAGCAGCTGGTGGATTCGAGCTGCCAGCCTTTTGGGTAGCAGGGAGCTCTTAACCACTGTATCAGCAGGGCTTAAAGGAAGAAGAGGCGTATCAAAAAACGGAAATACATTTTAGGTGAGGGGAATGAATTAAGGAAGGAAATTTTAAAAAGATACCCTGATTCACTTAACATATTTTTTGAGTGCCTACTATGTGCAAGGTGTTCATTAAATATTAAATTTAAGGGTTAAGATAAATTTAATTAGTAAAAATGAAAACTCAGAATTGGAGTAATCTTTAAAGAAGCTGAAAACATAAATAACATAGCATAGCACATTCCAACAGATGTGATAAAAAGAGAAATAAGAATACTGTAACAATCTCATTTAAGTTGGAACACTTAGGGGTTAAAGGAAATCCTTATGTAAATGTCATGATTTCTTAGACTTTATAAAATAATTCAAAACTAGGTAGAGTTTTTAATAGCAGTTTAAGAATTTCTACAACTGTATGATACATAAATTATTAACATGCTAAATAGATTTGGCTCATTTTCTCATTGCTATGTTAAATTTTAAAAAATACTATCTTAGCTACCAGATGTCTGTCTGTATGTCTGTCTTCTATCTCACACACACACACACAAATATATATACATGTAGAAAACCAATTAATTAATTCCAAGGAAACCTACCACTCATGTCTGACTGAAAAAGCCAAATCAGATGGTTAAGAAAACAAATAATTGTAAAAAAGGAAGTTAATCGTGTGATTCTAAGGTTTAATGGCATCAATCTCCAGTAGCCTCATGTGTCTACCCAGAAATAATATGAAAATGGATTATTTTTTTATAAAATAATCCATTTTCATATTATTTCTGGTTAAATCCCTTCAATGGTTCTCTACTGCTCTTACGATAGTCTAAAATTCTCATGATTCTTGTGATTCTCTACTATATGGTACCTGCTGCTAACCAAAAGGTTGGCAGTTTGAATCCATTAGGCACTCCTCGGAAACCATATGGAGCAGTTCTACTTTGTCCTATAAGGTTGCCATGAGTTGGAATCGACTTGATGGCAATGGGTTTTGTTTTTTTTTTAATCCCTCCAAGACTCATCACCTGTCACTCATTATAATCTTATTCTTTCAGTTCCTAAACCTCTTCAAGATTCTTTTTTTTTTATTGTGCTTTAAGTGAAAGTTTAAAATTCAAGTTAGTCTCTCATACAAAAATTTATACATACATTGTTATGTGACCCTAGTTGCTCTCCCTACACTGTGACAGCCCACTCCTCCTTTCCACCCGATTTCCCGTGACTATTCAACCAGCTCCTGACCCTCTCTGCCTTCTCATCTCGCCTCTGGACAGGAGCTGCCCATTTAGTCTCATGTATCTACTTGAGCTAAGAAGCACACTCTTCACAAGTATCATTTTATGTCCCATAGTCCAGTCTAATCTTTGTGTGAAGAGTTGTCCTCGGGAACGGTTTTAGTTTTTCTTCAAGATTCTTGATGGTAATAACCTTTCCTCTTCTTGGAATGCTCTTCCACAATTTTCCTGGCTAACTCCTCATTCTTTGGGAATCAATTTAAATGTTACTTTTCTAATCCTCCAGAATAGGTTAAAGAATTAAGGTCCCCCATTAAATGCTCTCAAATTCCCGTCTGAAGTCCTTTGTCTGCATCACACCCTTCCACCACCACCACCACCAAACTACAGGCTTCATGAACGCAGGGATCATTATTATAGTTATGTCCCCAGTGCCTAGCACAGTACCTGGCACATAAAAGGCAAGCTGAATATTTGTAGAATGAATGAGTGAATAACAGTTATTAAACTGACTGTATACTCACCTCAGCTTGATAATAAAAAAAGTCCTTTTCACTAATCTTTCAAACGGGTGGTACAAAAACACAAATGAAGCACAGAATGGAAAAGATAAGACCCCATTCCATCTCACTTTCTCAGAAACTTCACTCCTAAATTATCCTTTCTTTTCTACATCATCAAGTTTTCCTTCTCTACCAGATCATTCCCATCCCACCCCAAACATCTTAAAAACAAAATAAAGCTTTCTCCATTCCTCCTCCCACTTCTTTGCTCCCTTCACAACAAAATTTGTACTGAGTTACCTACAATGGATGTGTCCACTGCTTCAACTCTCTTTCACTGATCAGCCCAGTCTAATCTGGCTTTGGAACCATCATTCCACTGAAACTGCTCTTTTCAAGGTCATCATAAAAAGGGGATTAGGGAACTGATTTATCTAGAAAGGTAGCCCAGAGAGATGGAAAATATGAAAGATATGAAGAAAGAACAAGAAGAATTAAGTCTAATCAGAATTACATTAGGCCATGATAAAGAGAAGTAATATTTAAAGAGACAAAGGCTGACAGTTTTGCAAATTGTTGAAAGTTATCAGTCCTCTGATCTAAGAAATCCTAACAAGTTCCAAGCAGGATAAATAAACAAAAATCCACACCTACACACATCATAGTAAAACTGCAGAACATCAAAGAAAAAAAAAAAGTCAGAGAACAGACAGACCACCTTCAAACTAATGGCAATTAGATTAATGGCTGAATTTTCATTAGGAACAACAGAAGACAGAATAATAATAGCCACTGTGCTTGAAGAAAATAATTGCCAACCTAGAATTGCAGAAAACAGTGTGGCGGTTCCTCAAAAAGTTAAACATAAAATTACCATATGAATCAGTAATTCCACTCCTAGCTATACACCCAATAGAACTGAAAGCAGGAATGCAAATAGATATTTGTACACCAATGTTATTGCAGCACTATTCACAATAGCCAAAAAGTGGAAGCAGCCTAAATGTCCATCAATTAATGAATGGAAAAACAAAATGTGGTACATACATGCAATGGAGTATTACTCAGCCAAAAAGAGAAATGAAGTCCTGATACATGCTACAACATGGATGAACCTTGAAAACATTACGCTGAGCGAAGTAAGTCAGTCACAAAAGGACAAATATTTTATGATTCCACTTTATAAAGTACCTAGAACAAGCAAGTGTATAGAGACCAAAGTTTATTAGTGTTTACCCAAGTCAAGAAGAAAGAAGGAGAAAAGGCGTACTCAATCTACTACAGAGATTAAATAGAGGATACTATGGAGTCCTTACGGAGCACCGGTGGCACAGTGGTTAAGCGCTCAGCTGCTAACGGAAAGGTTGGTGGTTCAAAATCACCAGCTGCTCTGTGGGAGAAAGTTGTGGCAGTCTGCTTCCATAAAAGATTTACAGCCTTGGAAACCCTATGGGGGCAGTTCTACTCTATTCTACAGGGTCACTATGAGTCAGAATCTACTCAACGGCTGTAGGTTTCCTTTCGATGCAGTCCTCGGGTGGTGCAAAGAGTTAACATGCTTGGCTGCTAACTGAAAGGTTGGTGGTTCGAGTCTAACCAGAGGTGTCTTGGAAAGAAAGGCCTGGCAATCTATTTCCAAAAAATCATCCATTGAAAACCCTACGGAGCACAGTTCCACTATGACACACCTGGAGTTGCTAGAAGTCAGAATCAGCTCAATGGCAACCGGTAGTGGTGGTAGGTGAACAATTTAAGGTTATGTCAGTAAGTTTGAAAACTAGATGAAATAGATAAGACTCCTAAGGGAGAAAACTTATCAAGCCTGAATCAATTAAGAAAAAAAAAAAGGAAAATCTAAATAGTCGTATAGATTTAAATAAACTGAATCAGAGATTAAAAGCCTCTCCCAGGATCATTAGCCATTAGAGAAATGCAGATCAAAACTACAATGAGATACCATCTCACCCCAACAAGGCTAGCATTAATCCAAAAAGCACAAAATAATAAACATTGGAGAAGTTGTGGAGAGACTGGAACACTTAAACACTGTTGGTGGGAATGTAAAATGATACAACCACTTTGGAAATTGATTTGGTGCTTCCTTAAAAAGCTAGAGACAGAAGTACCATATGATCCAGCAATCACACTCCTTGGAATATATCCTAGAGAAATAAAAGCTGTCACACGAATAGATATATGCACACCCATGTTCACTGCAGCACTGTTCACAATAGCAAAAAGATGGAAACAACCTAGGTGGCCATCAACAGACAAATGGATAAATTATGGTATATTCACACAGTGGAATACTATGCAACGATAAAGAATAAAAATGAATCCGTGAAACAGCTCATAACATGGATGACTCTGGAAGGCATTATGCTGAGTGAAATTAGTCAATCGCAAAAGGACAAATATTGTATTGTATAAGACCACTATTATAAGAACTCAAGAAGAGGTTTAAACACAGAAGAAAACATTCTTTGTTGATTACAAAGGTGGGGAGGGAGGGAGATGGTAGACAAGAATTATCTTAGGTGAAGGGAAGGACAACACACACTATAGGAGAAGTCAGCACAACTGGACTAAACCAAAACCTAAGAAGTCTCCCGACTACAACCAAACACCTCGAGGGACACAGTAGCAGGGGACAGGGGACCATGGTTTCAGGGGACATCTAGGTCAATTGGTGTCACAAAGTTTATTAAGAAAATATTCTGCATCCTCCTTTGGTGAGTAGCAT